ACCAATTTTAACAAAGAAATTCAACGTAATAAAGGCGTGGTTTTTTCAGAGAGAAAACATCGCATTCGATACTGATATCGAAACTGCACTCGAATGCGATATTTTCTCTCTGAAAAAACCACGCCTTTATTACGTTGAATTTCTTTGTTAAAATTGGTGAGTGCTTTAGACTCCTGACAACAGAAGTGCGATCTCAAAATAGGAGAAAAATGACGAGTAGCTGAAAATATGGAACCAATTGATGCGATACATCGCATGCCGTTCTGACACAAAATATGGCGTCCATCGAATCACCTTAAGAAGCCAAACCTTCATGCTCACAGTTTTTTGTTTCACCTACTTAACTCTGTGCATAGGTAAATGGAATTTCAGGTCGCTCCTTCAATATTGCTTTTACAGTTTCATTAGGTAAACAATTTTTTTTCTTCTTTTTCTTTTCAATCCTGAATAATATCTTGACAGAGGATAGTTGTAAAAAACTTACCCGCTTGACTGCTGCTGCCTTTTCTTTTATCTTTGCCTCTGCCTTTGCGGGGCCTTCCGCCTGGTTCCTCACCTAACATATTAGCAGAACATCAATGGAAACGAAAACTTGTGCAATGGTATGAAAGTTTGTCCCTACACCACGACGAACTTTTTTTCCTATTTTTTTTCAACTCGTCTCTCTTAGACACTTCAATTTTTCCTAAAATTACGTCAACTGATCTCTATTTTTTGAGCGTTCACCACGTTAGCAGTGTAGGCTCTTTCCCGTCGTTTTGCAGCGGGTATGTTACTAATGGATCCATTGGTAAAGGCCCGCACTGCTCCATGGGAATCGGCGTCATTTTGCGTGGCGGGAAGCAATACCTAGTTCCACCGTTTTATTTATGTACCATTTCTACCTTTTTTCTCCTATTTTGTCCACTTCATGTAATGCCTGTAGGCTTGTTTTTGAGAAATTAATATCTTTACGTTTCAAAACTCTGCAACGTACTTTTATTTAATGACTCTTTCAAAGATCGTTCAAATTTTTTGTCGTCGTAGTTCTAGAAAAAATTTTGGGTACAAGTACCCCTTTGCTATAATGACCCCTATATTTTACTCTATGATGACAAGACATTTCTTGTACATATGATATATGTATGTTTCCTAAGTTACGCTCCACGTTTAGTTCAACAGCGTCTTGCAGCGCTCTCTTCCGTCCGCGCAAAACCACTTTTACATATTGACGAGGTGCTGCGGTGAACGCTCCCCAACGTCTTAACGTTGGAACCGTCGTCTTGTTCCCCTTCCTAAGATTTTGAAAAATCCTGATTTTTTTTATTTTTTTTTTTTTTTTGATGAGTGCGTTTTTGTAATAACGATAGTGCGTTCATTATTCCAGTAGATTTCCTCTTCACAGGCAGAAATAAAAATGATGAAAAAAATGAAAAAATGAAAAAATGAAAAAATGAAAAAATGAAAAAATGAAAAAATGAAAAAATGAAAAAATGAAAAAATGAAAAAATGAAAATTTCAAGTTGTGGTAAAGAATCGATTATTAAGGTGTTCGTTGCGGGCACTTTGTCTACCGACCCTTTTCCATGGGTTTAAATGGCAGATCAATCGATACATCGCAAAGCGCGCCACGCCACTGATGACTTAGGTTTCCTGAGCGGATCTGGTATAGTTTCGAAGTGAAAGGAGGACGTACATTTTACTCATCAAAATGTCACCAAATGGTTTATTCGTCAATCCTTCTTTTTGTCTCAGTAGCGGTGCAAGGTGGAACTTAATTCACCCCTTGATCTCGAATTCAGGTTGGAACGAGCGTTTGAAATATGGTAAGGATTCCAACATCAAACGAAGACCGCAGGGCAGTCGTGGAAAATGGAGACATGTCTCTGTTCACGGAGAAATAAACTTCGTGCGTGGGACCCGAAGTTTAGGTCATATGGATCTCTGAAGTTTTCGGATTGAGCATCCGAACACTTTAGGTCCAACTGCTGAGGTTTGGATCACACATCTGAAACTTCAGTTCTTACATCTGAAGTACTTCGGTTTTCACATTCGAAAAACTTTGGTTCTCACAACCGAAAAACTTTGGTTCTCTTGTAAGAACTGAAGTTTCAGATGTGTGATCTGAACCTGGACAGCTAGAACTAAATGCTCAATCCGAAAACTTCAGAGATCCATATGACCTAAACTTCGGGTCCCATGCACGCACGAGGTTTTTTTTCTCCGTGTTCGCAAAAATGTCCGGAAGCCATTCATGGTGAGCACAGAAGCGGGCTGATTGTTGACATTGATAGACAAAACGATAGACAAAGAAGACAATCGATATATCGCAAAGTACGCGGGGTGAACTCACCTGGAGCTGGGTGCTTCTCTTCCAAATGACGCAGCAAGGAGCTTGGCGAATAGAAGGATTTGCCGCAATCGGGAACCCGGCAGTTTAACTGTCCTTCGCGAGCCATTTTGTGGTGTTTTAAGTGCCGTTGAAGTGTATAACGATGCTTAAAAGATGATTTGCAACCTGGCTCAGTGCACGGATGGCGCGTTTGCTTCTGACCAGCCGACCCTTCATCTTCTCCTTCGGGTTTAAATTAAAAATGTTAAAAATACTCTCAGAATATCAACTGCAGTTTTTCAACTTGAAGAATGTTTGAAAGAAATGTTGAAAAACTCCAAAAAAAAGTAGTCGTTTTTTAGAGACTTTGTCACCTACCGACCGAAGTATCACAAGCGCCTTAAAACGTTTGAAACTTTCCGCCGCCATTTTATTTTTGTACGGAGAAATTGTTCGACAATCCTGTTCTAAAATTTCATTGAATTTTCTTTGTGCTGCCGATGAAATTCAGTGAAATTTCCGAACAAATTCAACCAACAATTTCTCTGTAAAAAAATAAAATGTCGGCGGAATTTTTTAAACGTCACATGGCTCTTGTGATACTTTGGCCGGAAGGTGACGACTAAGTTTTCAAAGAGTTAAACACTAATAAAAACACTAAAAAATGATACTGAAACTGATGAGGTCTAAACAGATCCTAATCGATGAACTGCCGTGCTAGGAAATAGTACAAACTGTCCAAAAATAAAAGTTCAAAGTACAAAAATGTCCTAAGTCAAAAAAGTCCACATCTAAAACATGTCCAAATATCTGGAATGTCCAGCAGTAGTATTATAGCCAAAAACAAAAATGCCAATATGTGACATAATTTTACGAAGCGGCAAAATAGTGAGCTTGGAGGCTTTCCACAGAAATATCCATGGAGATAATGAAGAAGCAGTGATACAGAGTTTTCCTAATCTATTCTCGGTAAAGTTATTTTTTATTCGGGAATTTTTTATTGGGGCTATTTTACCGCGACTGGACATTTCAGACACTTGGACATTTTTTTCTCATGGCCATTTTTTTACTCTGGACATTTATTTTTGGACATTTTGTCCCATCACCCCGTGCCACGGAAGGTCGCCGTATGAGCGCAGCGTTCAAACGCTACCAATTTTCCTCTGTTAAAATACGAATTTTCAAGGCAATCTGAGAATATTTTTTCTCCAATTTTTCAGAGAATTTTATTCGCAATCAGATCTAATTTATCTGAAAATTTTAAGAGAAAATATTCATATCTATCCTTATTAAAACACTTTATAGAAGGAAATTTGGCGACTATCGAATGTTCATACGGCGTTTTTCCTCAGCACGGCAGTATAGGTCTCTTGCCATTACGTCAGGTTAGTATGCCAATCAGTTGCGTGGCGTGCTTTGCCATGTATCGATTGATACGCCAATCAAACCTATGAAAAAATCGATTATCAGGGTGTTCGCAGCGAGCACGTTAGTAATCGATTCTTTACCATAGCTTCAAATGGCGAGATATCGATAATCGATCATTTACGCCACGCCACTGATTCCAATGCATCTGCCTGAGCTGAAGACTTGTGCTAAATTTTCTCATTATTACCGTAAATTGTATTGATATCTTGGTTCTAATTGGATTACATTTTTCAATAAGGAACCACTATCTCTGACTCTTCCATAAAAGCACCTTTCTACATAGGGAAACAAATGGCATATATGTTGTATCTAAAATGAGCCAAAGATAGTGGTTCCTTATTGCAAAATGAGGTCCAATGGAGATGTTGCATGTGTGAGGAATTTGCGATTTGACTGTTGATTCTTATGTAAAAGTTTGCGAGAAACACGATGGTGCCACTGGTTTTCTCTGAAATCATCTCCCAAGCTCAAAAAAAGCTCTCAAGTTGAGGCCAAAATGGAGGGGATATCCCACGCTATCCTGAAAGTCCAACTCTACATCAAAACAAACTCTCCATGCAAAGATAGGGAGCAAATACATTAGCAGGGTTGCCATTTTTTTAGTTTTAGATTCTCCAAATAAAGTAGCAGTCCTGTGTATGTATTTGCACCCTATCTTTGCATGGAGAGTTTGTCTAAATGTAGAGGTGGACTCTCAGGATAGCGTGGGATCCCCTCCATTTGGCCTCAACTTGAGAGCTTTTTTTGAGCTTGGGAGTTGATTTCAGAGAAAACCAGTGGCACCATCGTGTTTCTCGCGAACAATTACAGAAGAATCAACAGTCAAATCGCAAATTCCTCACACATGCAACATCTCCATTGGCGCACACAAAATCTCCTATAATCTTGAGATCTCTCATAAATTATTCAATTTTCACATGGTACGTGCCGTACCTGAACCAGTCTGCTCTGGTTGGTTTTCATCATATGGTTCATCGTACGGTAGGTCATCCACGCCGAATTCTTCATCCTGAACTAGATTCGGATCTACAGGGCCTGAATAGTGTTGAGGTGTTGGCGGCAGCGAGTCACTGCCATGAAAGGGTTGAGGAGTTCCATACGGTACGTCATCGACACTGAAACCTTCATCCCTGACAAGGAAAGGATTCACAGGAGCTGAATAGTGTTGAGGCGTCGGGGGCAGCGAGGAATCCAGGAACGAACTTCCACCGTGGGCAGAATATGGGGGGACCGGAGGGTATCCAGGAGGTGAAGGATGTCGAGGAGATGAAGGATGCCGAGGAGATGAAGGATGCCGAGGAGATGAAGGATGTCGAGGAGATGAAGGATATGGAGGAGATGATCCCGAACCTTGTGTTGGATACTGGGACAAGAATGATTCCACACCGAACGAAGGATCGTGAAGAAGTGCAGGATTCACGGGGGCTGACGGATTTTCAGGAGTTGGAGGAAGCGAGGGAATCTCAAAGCCTGAAGGACTCACAGCTGCAGCTCCTGAGCCAGCATAGTCATAACCTGAGCCGCTGCCACCAGTATAACCATAACCTGAGCCGCTGCCACCTGCGTAACCATAACCTGAGCCGCTACCGCTAGCATAACCTGAGCCGCTGCCACCAGCATAACCATAACCTGAGCTGCTGCCACTAGCATAACCTGAGCCGCTGCCACTAGCATAACCTGAGCCGCTGCCACCAGCATAACCTGAGCCGCTGCCACCAGCATAACCTGAGCCGCTCGCCCTATGCAGCTGATGTCTTCTGATGAGGAACTCGGCGAGGGCTACTCGTGCGCAGCTGAGGAAGGTCCTGGGTGTTTGATATAGTTCTGCCAAAACGCAAGTCGGGAATTTGATGGTGCATTCGAAAAATGGCTCTCCGGGAACCCTGCGACACTTGGCCTTTTCCC